AGGACTCCCCAAACCGAGGCCTGGGATTCTCTTGAAGGATGACCGGACTAGTGTTCTCTTGAGACCTTCAGCCATTGGCATTGCCAGTCTTTCAGGGAAAGGAGTTGAGTATGATAGATGGACCACAGGGCTCAGCAGGGCAAGACCCCAATAGAAGCCCTGCCCTGCCCCCTATGTGATAATGAGGCTTTGCCTCAATCACCCAGTGTTTCCAGATCTCTGAGAAAGTGAGGGGAACCCCACAGCATCTGCTGCCACTAGCCTGTGGTTATTCTGTGGGGGATACAATGTGGGCTTAGCCCTGGGCCTCAGTTGGCCTCATCTATAAAGTGGGGGTAAGGCTTTGACTTTCCATAAGGCATGGGCCAGACGAATTCTCAGAGAGATTTCCGCAGAAGCCAAAATGTCCTTCTCGACCCCACCTTTCACCAGGGAGGATTTGAACCAGTTCCGTCAGGGCCGACAAAGTGAGATTAGATTAGAACCGACCCCCAAATGTAAAATCTGCGTGAAGGGCAACAATAACCTGAATGGAGAGATGACAGGTGCAAGTCCTGGAGGGGGCAACTCTGAAGACACCCTTTAGGGAGCTTGATGAGAGAGAGTGATTGGATTGTTGTCAGAACTATGGAGAGCGATTCGCATTCAAGGCAGCCTCCGCAGACGCCCTCTGTGAGCCAGCAGGCTTTGGGAGATTTGTTTGCTTTGCAATGCTCAACTATCCCTGGTTTCTGTTTGTTTTTAAGAAAGGGATTACGTTTCTTGCAGGAAATCAACCTGTCACTTCCCTCCATTCTGGCTACCATTCTAGTTCACCGGCATTGTACACATTTCCTGGTTCCAGGGGTCCGGTGCCCATTGATTGGGACGTTGGCGGGTGGGCCGTGCTACCTAGGCCCCCTTCAGCAGCGTGTGCGGAACACTGGGGCCCCAGAGAGAGTCCGAGGCGGACGGAGCGATCAATCGCCTGCGCGGGGATGTGGCCGTCCACCGAGGCCCCCAGGCCCCGCAGGAAGCAGTCTTGCTTCCCAAGGTGAAGGCCGGCTCCTGTCGCAGGTGGTTTTCTGGTGAAAGCTGAAGGCGCTGATGAAGCTCTTCCTAGAGCTCCGGGAAGCTCCGCAGGCGGGCAGGGGAGGGCCAGGTGAGAAGCCTGCGCGCGGAGCCTGGAGGGCGGGGCCTGGAGGCGGGCCTGCGGTCACTTCCCGAAAGCTGGGCCCGCCCCCTGGGCGGGGAGAAGGTCAGCGCGGTCCGTGCGCCCGCCCACCCCGCCCCGCCCTTCAGCCGCGGGGGTTTGCCCAGGCGCCTGGGAGCTCAGAATTTACTGTAAATGTTGCCACCGGTGGAAACTCTCAGAGGGGGCGAGGAAAAGGGGTAGAGGAAGGGGCCGGAGCTCCCGGCCCCCAGTTCCCGTCTTACCGACACCCTCCCTCCCTCTCTTCTCGTTGAGTTGCTTTATTTTGCCTTTCGGTAAGGTGGGGGGGATGCACTCCCGCCGCCGGTGGATGTGCCAGGAAACAGCCAAATGGTAAAATGAATGAGCCAGTTAACACTTTGCCCAAGAAAGCAGGCCCTCGCTCCGCCAGCCTGGCCACAACTCCACTGGACTGGACTGGATGGGTCCCCAGCATGGATTCCAACTCCTGTAGAGTCTAAGTGAGCTAACTCCATGGGGGGGTCCTTGGCTGTGTTCTTGACCAATGGAGGAGTTTCTAAGCTGACTTTGCTGACTTTGCTGGTGGATATAACCTGCTAACCTTTAAGTTAATAGCCAAGGGCCCCCTGTGCCACCCTGGAACTGCACCCCAGTAAAGATGACTCAGTGCCTGGCTCAGACTGAGCATGTGCCTCTCTGCCCTCCACAAATGCATGGAAGCTTTCTGACGGACAAGACCACAGGTGTATGGGGGGCCCTGTCCCTGGAAAAGAACCCCAGATCCTTATATCTTTAAACCGGCAATATCCCGTGAAGTCTTCCTGAGGGCAAACGATGGCTTAGGTGAACCCGTCTGCCTTCAGCACTGCGCCTTTTAAAGTGTGGTCTGCCTGGGATCAAATGGACAACAGCAGTTTGAAAGGTTGGGTGAGGTCCTTAGGGAGGAGTGGTGTATGTGTGTGTGTGTGTGTGTGTGTCAATGGGGAGGACCAACAGGAACGGAGGGCGAGGAGAGTCACACAGGACACTTCACATGGCACTACGCTGTGTCATGAACACAATGAAATTTAAAAACAAAACACCTGGGTGGAGGGGTGATAGGGTCTCTAGCCATGTGCTGGGAAAATCCAGGGGCTGCCCATCAATTCATTGTGTCCTCCTGATGAAGTATTTGGGGCATTTTAAATGCCAAGCTATCTGAACATCTGCTCGCCGCCCACCATAGTTTTGAGTCAACTTCCAGGGCCAGCAGTTGATGTCACCAGTCAGCAGACAATAAACATTCAAGTTGGTCCTGTGGGCCAGGCACCGGGCCACATGTTTAACAAAGACAGCCTCCAACCAGGATGTGTTTAAATGATTTTCTTTTAAAATTAATATCACAGTTGACTGGTGTTTCCAAAACTTGCCTGATCATTAGAATAACATGGGGCATGAATTAAACATTTAGACTCCCTGAGGTACCCTAAGACTACTTACTGAATTCAAATCTCTAAGGGAAAGGTCTGAACCTATACTTTGAATGAGACCTCACCTTAATTTAACCAAATAGAATTAGGAAGGAAGGGACAAAAAGACCAAGTCTTGTCAGGGTACCCGCCCTAACACATCATCACGGGTCTGTAGACGCAATTGTACAGTGATAATAAGTACAGATTATAGTAAAGTCATAGAGAACATGAGAGATGGAAGAGAGATTGAAGTAACGGAGTCAGACACATTTCATAGTAGCACGCTCACCTCAGCCTCACTTGGTGGGCCACGATATTTATTGCTAACCAAGGCTTTTGTGTTCTCTGGGGACATACAAGTCCCCTAATTACAGATGATGACATACAGAAAGGGTTGTGCTGTAGGTAATACAGTAATGGGAGGGGGGTGATCTAGGGGTATCCACGCAACAGGAAGAGGAGGGATTGGGGTTACACATGTGACAAGATAGGCGGATCCTAGATTCAGGATGGCAGCCTAACTTTGAATGTCACTGAGCTGGTTTGACCTGTTCTCTGGCTCACTATAGAGACCATTATCAGTGGGGTGTAAACCTCACCTAGAGGAACCAAGCCTTTAGGGAGAAGTAGCCCATTGTCCTTTACAGCAGGGAGAAGGGGCCTACCTGCGTGGAACCAGACAGTAGTCTGGCAACTGACTGACTGCCTTCAGGGAAATAACTTGACAATCGTTTACCGTTAGCTGCAAGCAGTGTCCTAAGTCTAACATATTTGGGGGAGATGACTTGGGAGAAATCTTTCTGTTTCCCACAAAGTCTCTAAATATTTGCATCTTCAATGCCATTTGCCTTTCCTTTGAGAGCAGCAGTGATTAGCATAAAAGATCTGTTTGATCCAGGGGTGTGACCCTTAAAATCACATTGGAAATACCCGTGCAGCTGTTTGAAGGTGGGAATGGCTTTTCGTAAATGCTCATTACAAGGGCCGGATGTAGTTACGAGTCGGGCTTCTAACTGCAAGGTCAGCAGTTTGAAACTACCAGCTGCTGCAAGGGAGAAAAACAGGGCTTTCTACTCCCATAAAAAATGACAGTCTCAGAAACTCACAGAGGCAGTTCTACCCTGTCCTATAGGGTTGCCATGAGTTGGCATCCACTTGGTGGCAGTGAGTTTGGGTTTGGGGATTTTTTTTGTTTGTTTGGATGGATGGTTAATTAATGTTGTGACCAGTAATCAGGGTTCCTCTCTGATCTTGCATTTTCCTAACTGGTATGTTTCTGAGTTTCACCACCACCATCCCCAAAGCAGCAAGGGAATGAGGCCCCCCACCCCAAAATGGGAAGTGTATGTGCTTGGGTTGCACCCAGAAGATGGTAAAATAAGCAGCTGGGTGAGCAGCAAGGAGCAGAAGAGCAACTTGTGGAGGATCCTGAACATTTCCTATGTACAAAGACCCCAAATGTCCCAGAATTCCAGGCAGTTCACCCTGCACTTGGTCTGTAAGACAATCCGTAGATGGGAGGGGCCTATGCAAATCACCTGGGAGAAGCAATCGGCTACGAGTGTAATTAAGATGTTCTAACAGACGGCTATGTCCTGCAAACCACTTTCCCTCCATACATGCTTGCTATACTCCTATACTCCCTCCATGTACACCCGCACAGAGGCCCGTGCACACAAATTCACACGCACATTTACACACACGTGTGTCCCAGAAAGAACCATCATTACCATTTTGATAAGTCAAAATAGACCAATAGCAGCTAGGTCACACCGTGCAACCTGATTGTTGGTGCTGCTAGCTGCCTCGGCATGGATTTGCACTCACAGTGACCTAGGGTGTGCACATTCAGGTCACCAGACCTGTCTTCTAAGGTGTCCCCAGGCGGGTGCCAACCTTTCAGCTAGCAGGTGAATGCTTATCAGTGTGCACCACCCCCAGTCACCTTTGGCCTGATTCCCATCCAGGAATAGACAAACACAGCCACACAGATGCCTGGGCTCACACCAGATGCACCCTCAACCCCAACCCCAACCCCAACCCCCTGCCATCAAGCCCATGCTGACTCACAGCAACCCTATAGGACAGGGTAGAGCTGCCCCTGTGGATTTCCGAGGTTGTAACTCTTGACGAGACTAGAAAGCCTCATCTTTCTCTCCTGGAGTGGCTGGTGGTTTCGAACTGCTGACCTTGTGGTTAGCAGCCCAACGCATAGTCACTACCCTTAGATGTGCCCATCCCTGTACCTGCAAATATATGTGCCGAAGATGTAGATGCAGCTGTGCACAGACTCACGTGGGCAAGGCCTTCTCCGTGGCTGTGCTAGGAAGAGTCTAAGCTGCTCTCCCCACCTTGCTGCCTCCCCCCACTAACGGCCACCCCTCCCCCCTGCGCAGGAGAGTGAAGACCTGGAGAAACAGAACGCGGCTCTGCGCAAGGAGATCAAGAGGCTCACAGAGGAGATGAAGTACTTCACGTCGGTGCTCAGCAGCCACGAGCCCCTGTGCTCCGTGCTGACCTCCAGCCTGCCCTCACCCCCCGAAGTGGTGTACACCTTCCACCAGCCGCACGTCAGCGCCCCGCGCTTCCAACCCTGAGCGCCAGTGCAGCCTCCACCCCCGGGAGCTGGCACACGGACTGCGTCCAGCACGCCCTGGCCCTACAGAGCCTTCGGGAGCCCCGAGCCAGAGGCCTGGACACGGATTGCACACAAGGACTATGATGGCTGGAGATGTGTGAGGCCTCCCCGCAGGGTGTCACCACCTGGGGGTGCTTCACTCCCAGGTGGGTGGGAGTCCCGGGCCACAAGAGCAGTGAGCATCAAGCCCAAGTCCCGGGCACAGAAAGAGGATGGCAGGGAAGGGCTATTTTTCTAAATAAACTTTGTAAAAGACACCAGCTGGGCAGGGGCCTTTTCTTGAGACCCTGAATTCCCTGGGGTTGGGACCTTCCTCTGTGCGTGGCCTCCAGTGCCCCCCAGACGCTCTGGAGAGCCGGTTCTACCTCTCCTTTCTCCGGGCTTGCTAATCTATTTGGGAAGACAGCGTTGTTGTTGTGTTGGTTTTTGTTACTCAGCTTCTTCAGTCTCGGCCCCCTGCCTGCCCCCACCCCCCACCCCAAGGCATCTCTTCCTTCTCAAATGGCCTCTGAGTCGAACCTGGAAGCTAGAATTCCTCCTAGCCCCGGCTTCCTAGATCAGAAACTTCCAGGCAGGGGGAAGGACCACATCAGATGCCATGCACGCAGTGAGGTGGCAAGCCAGGTGGATGCTATCTTCCCCCTCAGTTAGCTTCTCCAGCCCTGTGTCCACCCTGCCTGCCAACTCTTGAAGATGGAGTGAGTGCTCGGGCAACGTGCAGCAGGGTGGAAATGCAGCCGGCACCCTCACCCCCATGCAGCACTTTCCTAATGCTCTCAAGGGGCACCGGGCAGCTCAGATCCACAGGGCCCTGCCTTTGGGCCTCCATGTCCTGCTGAAGACTCCAAGGGGAGCATTGACTCCTGAAGCGCTGCAGGCTGCCTCTTTGAATCTACTTTGAGGACCACCGTAGGAGCCCTGGTGGAGTAGTGGTTACACGTTGGGCTGCAATCCACCTGGTCGGCAGTTCAAAACCACCAGCAGCTCTTTGGGAGAAAAACGGGGCTTTCTATTCCTATAAACAGCTACAGTCTTGGAAACCCGGTTGAGGGGACGGGGTGGGGGGGTGGGGGGGAGGCGGAGTTGCTGGGAGTCAGCCTTGACTCAGTGGCAGTGGGTTTGTGTTTTGTTGTTGTTTGAGGGCTACAGTGACCCAAAGACACACAGGGTTGTCTTCAGGGTAGAATCCCAAACCCATGTGCTCCGTGGCCCCTGTTCTGACATCTGTGGGCACCTCCAAGACCCCAGAGGCACGTCTTCCCGGCCTGCTGCCGCAGCCGGTCCCACACATCTGTGCCAGGTTGGCCCCTACTCTGAACCACTGGGGACAAGAGCAACTAAGGCTTGCAGGGGCGCATCTGAGTCAGCCCCTGGGCACCCACCCCCAGTCCTTCAGTGGGCTGTCATAGCCGCTGCCCTCTGCCGGCTGCCATCTTGGGACGCAGTGACCAAGAGGAGCGGGAAGAAGGAGAAGCCTGGCCTCTGTCTGGTGGCACCTCCTCCTCAGCCAGTCAACAGCTCTGGCCTGTTTGAGGCTCAACCTTGCTGCACCCTTGCCTTATGTACCTTTCGGGAAGCACACCCCTGTGGGGTTGGTCATGATTATTCCAGGCCTGGAGAAGCAAGGCCCAGCGGGTGGTTACACACACGGCAGCAGGCAGGAGCCTGGCGTGAAAGCGTGGATGCCCTGGTGGGGCACAGGAACTGAACCCAGTCCAGTAACTCAAGCCAGCGGCAGCCAGCCCAGCCCTCCCCAACCCAGTGTGTCCGAAGAAGAAGCCAATGTTTTAATCTTCGATCTCCCAGAGCTAGTGGATGGGGCATGTGGGGAGGGGTTGTAGCCAGGAGGATGGTTCCCAACAGGCCCCTCTGGAGTCCCTGGATGGTGCCCCTGTTCAAGCCCTGACTGCTGATGCAAAGGCTGGATGTTTGAGTCCACCCAGAAGTGCCTTGAAAGAAGGGCTTGGCCATCTACTTGGGGGGCGGGGGGAAGGAGCGGGGAGGATCAGCCATCAAAAATCATACAGAGTACAATTCCCCTCTGACACCCACTGGGCACCAGGAATAATCGGACCCCACAGCAACTGGTAATGTTCTCTGTCCCCCCCTCCCCCCTCCCATCCGTTAACAGGGCCGAGCCAAGCCCCCAGCCATCCCCTATACAACTCACTTCACTTCTATTGTTTTTTAAGTCTCAGAACGCTGGGTCTGGCTTTGTGTGGCTACCTCTAGGCAGGTTTTCTCCCCACCCCTACACCCACTCAAATGCACTGCCTTCCAGTGGATTCTGAGCACTCCAATTTCCCCACGAAAGCCCCGAAGAAGGCACATGACTGGCCCAGGTCAGCTTCTGAATGACACTCAGGTCCAGAACTAGAAGCGCTGAGCTCACGTGCGCAGTTCCCACCCCTGGCCAGGCCCTCTCTTCCCCTTTCATTCTCCACTTTCTAATGACCCCAAGCAGTTCCGCTTCTTCTTTCTGATCAGCCTGGTGGAAGCAGCAAAGCGCTGAGCTGAGGACAAGTGCCAGTGCTGACTTCATCTCACCTAGGGTGTGTTAGTCCGGGTAGACTAGAGAAACAAATCCAGGAAGGCATTCATATGTGTATAAGAAAGTGTTTTTATATAAAAGAGCAATTGTATATTGAGAAAACATTCCAGCCCAGTCCACATCAAGTCCATAAGTCCAATATTAGCCCATATGTTCAATACCAGTCTATAAATTCCTCTTCAGACTCATGCAACACATGCAATGACACCGAATGCAGGAAGATCACAGGCCAGTGGGTGCAAAGTCTTGTGGATCCAGTGGTGTTGTCAGCATCTCAGTGCTGGCAGGAGTCTCCATGTGGCTCCTCCAGCTCCAGGGCCCTGGCTGCATCAGTGTAGCTTCATCAGGCTTGTCATCAGGAATGTCTGGCATGGAGTGTCTGTATGTCCCACCTGCAACGAGTTATCTCAGTAGTGCCTCCATATGAGGTTATCAAGTAGCAACCTGATTGACAGGGTAAAAGCCAGTCCTTCACTCTTAGTTGTCTAAGTTGGCACCAGATTATGTAACTACCACTTAGGGGAATGATAGGGGCCTCATGAGTGGAGATGTCAACTCCCACAGCTCTGACTGCCACACCTCAGACCTCCCACCCCCAGGAGCTCAGTCCCAGGCTCCTGTCCAAGGCAGGCATGGCTACCTGGGCCAGTAGGCTAGCAGACATACCCTTAAATGCCTTCAGGACCTAGACAGGCACTTTAAATATAGGATGCTCACTGGGTGTAGGACAATTGGGAGTGGTGGAGAGTGGGGCCACCTGGGGAGTGAGAGCTTACTTACTTGCCCAAAGGAGGCAGCTCCTCTGGGTTCTAACTCACACAGACACTTTGAAAATTCAGGCCACGGCCCAGTGCAGCTGTATCTTCCACTTTTTCAAGAGAAGCCCAAATCTGAATTTTTCCATGAAATCTTTTCAAACCCTCTGCCAACCCCAAACCAGCTGTTTGAAATCAAGTCTTTTCCAAACAGCTGCAGGGCCTGGGGCAGGGGCACAAGCAGAAGTTACAAACCAGATGTCTCAACACACACACACACACACACACACACACGCGCGCACACACACACACACACACACATACACACGCACGTGCAAACCCTCTCAGAATTGATTCTGACTCAGAGTGACCCTATAGGACAGGGTAGAACTGTCCCTGTGGGTTTCCGAGACCATAGAAAGCTCATTGTTGCAGCCCCTGGGTCAATACATTCTGTTGAGTATCTTCCCATAGGGTGTCTTCCAAGGCGCCGCTGGGTGGTTTCAAACTGCTGACCTTGCAGTTAGCAGCCCAACCCATAGCCACTATGCCACCAGGACTCCTTTTCCCTTAGAGAGCAGACACATATGAACGCGGGTGACAGGACAGGCATTACACAATAAGGGGGGTGGGCTTGTGGGGGTGGCTCAGCACCATGTGGTCCAGGTAAAGGAAGGTGCCAGAGCTGTAGAAGAGTTACAGATTGCAAAGGCCCCAGTTTTGCAGGAAGTCATAACAGACAGTCATCTATGAGCGGATACATAGGCAGGCATGGACAGGTGTGGGAAGGCAAACAGGGCTCTGTCTGTGATGGTGTATAGTCTTGCAGAGGATATTTCTCTGTTCAAGGGGGTGTCAATAAATTCATGGGAAAAATGGAATGGAAAAATAATGGAATTTTCCATAAACTTTTTGAAGCCCCTTGTGTAGATTGGCACTCATGTGTGCTACAAATGTACCCACATGTACAGTAAAACCTATTGGAGGAGGCAAGGAAGGGAGAAAGGCCAGGCTTTCTCCTTTACTGTCCCAGAAACCCACAGGGGCTGTTCTACCAGTCCTCTAAGTGAGGACTTGCTGTGAGTCAGAATGAACTGCCTGGCAGTGAGTTTGGGCTAGGAGGCAAAGTTAGGCAAACTTCTTAGCCAGGGCCAAACACCTTGAGGGAATGAGTTCCTGGGCTTGAGGGTCTTCAGACCACCGCCTAGGTCAGAGGGCAGAACGGAGTTCACACAGACAGTACTGTGCAGTCTGCTTGGGTGAGTAACGACTGGCTTCTGGAACGCTTTCCAGTGATCGTCTCAGATGTAACCATGGGTCTCACGTTGGTTGGAAAAGAGTGAAGAAAAGCCAGGGAACATGGAAACAGTTAGTCCAGAGGATTCAGGAACCAGGCCAACCCCAGCCCCTATGCCCTGAGGCCCCATCCCTGAAGAAGTGGGTGGTGCCCAGCTGCCACTGCTGACCTCTCCTCTGATCAGGATCACAGTAGAAGGTCAAAACAAGACAAAAAGCATAGAAGAGAATTCAAAACCACTTTTAAAAGAGCAGAGGCCCTGATAGAGGCCCTGAGACTGTGACCTATAGACACGCCCTTTAAGCCTGAAACCAAACCCACCGAAGGGGAGGACCTTTCAGCCGGACAACAGACAG